TCCATAGCCACCGAGTACGATATGAAAACCCGACCGCTTGCAGACTATTGTGTAATGATCTAGAGCAATGCAAGCAATGGTGATCACCAGTGACTGAAGAAGTTGCAGTGATTGTTCACTAAACGTCTGCTCAGCTTGTCCTCTCGAAGCTCTTACGCACAACGCTGAGAGGCCTTAAAACTGTTCCCAGTATGGCATAGGCAGATGAAATTTAATATATGTCACTTATTCGATATTACACACAAGCGAGTTCACACCCCAAGCATGGATTTGAAATTCAACGATTGACCAAACGATAATATACAAGACAGTTACAACTTGCTAAAAATATAAAGGGCTATAAGTCAGACAGATATGAACTGTCACCTGAAAGTTTACGCAAATATATGGGCCAGGCTGCCGTCCAAGCTGCGATAAAATAAATCACCTGAAAATCTTCCGTAAGATCCCCGCAGCTTGTTAACCGTTGGAAAGGCCACTGAGCTGCTGAGACAAAACGTCACGGAAGAGATGACATATGAAAACGTTTATCGGATATCTAAGATATGGTAACAAGTGATATCATCACATCTCCCGTAGTCAATATTTTGACAACCCGCAACTGTTTACCTCATGAAACTATTCTGGACCGAGGCGAAACAATACAGAAGGCTATACTGAGCCATGCAAAACAAAACCTACAGACCTAGATAAACCTAATAAAGTCTGACGAAATGTTTTTAGTCCTAACATCCATTTATTCATGAACGAACCGTTCTCCATATTTTAAACCCATCCCTTTTCCTGCCAGGAGGTAGTAGCACAAAATTACAAAGTACTTCATGACGTGCGTCGATGTCAATTCCTACACATTTCGGCTGCCAGTGATGCATCGATCCGGAACCTCTATTGTTGAAACAATTTGGAAAGCAAATGTTTTCAACAAACCATTTAAAAAATTCAATCAGAACAAAAACAATCCGTATCTCACACCTTCGGGAAAGTAACTACTTTTTAAATTTCCGTTCACCTTCCTTACATTAGTCTTGTAATTTTGAATATTTCTTCTACTTTCCCGAGAGTTACAGCCCAGGAGGAGCACACAGTAATTATTAGCCCTACGCGATATCAAATACTACATTTGGTGAACGCATGCAATCATTGGATAAATTGTCTTGCATATCGACAATTCGAGAAGTCACCTATTATAGTGATCGCAACGCACAATTTGATCGAGAAATCCGTCCGCATTTCCTGGCTGGATTAAAATACAAGAATTTCTTATTTCTCATCGTTACCGTAATTAGCTTCCTACTTCCGCATATTCTACATTCAGTTTTACTACATTGTTGGCTACGACTGGGTCGATCTCATGAGGTGACGGATTGTAGCGTCCAAACTAATAAATTAACCCATGCGAGGCAAATGCCACAGACTCCCTGACAAGTAATAAAAGTGCATAGCTCAAAAAACGACTGTTGGTATGGGCTATTTGGCCTGAATGTCTAAATATACACTTAAAAAGCTCTAAAGATGAATACAATTGGCGATGGCTAAGCTGCTTTTAAGCCACACCAGCACGTGGTTAGAACAGACATGGAAGTGCGGGTGAAACCTTTCAAGGGATTAGCCTACACGGAAGCAGATCCCCTGAGACGACTCTACGGTTGACCGTATTGCCTTACTAGAACACCTAGATTTATCTGCATTATTTTTATAAACCTCTTCATCTATTCGAAAGGTGCAATTGATCAATTAGCCCTGCAAAAGAGTTTGGGAATTTTTCCGGACAAATCTAAGAAATATTATCCGTCCCATGCGATCCCGTTATACATAATGACCAGACCAATCAGTTGGACTGTGCCTCACACCGTCGAGGAATATACCCTTATTTCTTTATTTATGAAGGAAGTAAGCGACTTGTTCCCGTAAGTCATTAGCGATAGTGAACGCTGACATAGGAGTCTGCCAATGTTGGAGTGGCGTGATACATTTGGCGAGAGTGAAATACATGCCCCACGAGGTGGCGTTCACACGGCAGTGGACGACTGACATATAAGTTAAAATTTGCAACACGGATGATGTCCCTTTTAGGCGCCCTTAGGAGCAGTGCTAAAAGGTTTTGATATAACTGAACTTTGATTGTATAGGAGCTGTAGTTAGTGGGCGCGTAAACGATCACAAAGTAGCATGCCAGTCGGCTCCACGTCTGCTAAACTTGCAAGAGTCGCGGAGCCACGTAGCATATAGACGGCTATTGACTGAAATCTAGTCAAGGTGGGCCGCCTCGGCTTTAGCAATGGGCGTAATCCCAACACCAGCTTGCGCTGATGCGGAACACTCCATGTAACCAGAAGGGTGGAGGTAGAAGCGGGCGTGTGGGTGGGTTAGTGGCGACAATGGGTGGACTTTGCCGGAATTCCGAAGTCGTGTCTAAGTCCGGCAGCAGATGTCGGTTGTAAGAGTCCAGAAGGTAAGTGCCAGACCAGCTTGTTATCCGTGCTGCAGAAAGTGCGCGCAGTGAAGGTTGCTATTTTGGACTGGGTTTCAGGTTGCAGAAGCAACGATGGGAGACTTCGTGGCGGGTAGATCCTGGCGACGTTACCAGGCCAAATGCACTGGTGGAGGTAGAATTATACACCGTTGATGAATCAAGTAACAAACGGGGTGAATGATACAAGGGAGAGTAGATAACCGGGTGGCATCTGGTTGTAAAGTTGGTGTATTAGCAGGAGAGTAAACCATTATAAGAACAAGAGAGTGTGAGAGTGCGATTTCATAGTTCGTCCGTAGGAGAGATAGTGCGCAGTTGTTCAGATTAAAGCAAATAAATTGTCTTAAGAGACCCGAGCCTTTAGTAAAAAAGGGTCTATTCCCACTAGGCAGCAGGCGGAGATAAGGGATCCGCACTCGTTTGGAGCCATTGATTAAAAACACAGCTCATTCGCCATTCGAATGACTATAGGCCCAACCAGGAGCCCCATACTTCCGACGTCAGAGATGAAATGCGGTGCTCGGATTGCTGGTCGGTGTACAAGGCAAGTAATGCGCTGTTCGCCACAGTTTTCATTACCGTGACGACGTGAGTAACGACAACTTAGTCCACTATGTCCAAATGTTCGGTTATTTGTTGACAAGGAAAGATAAGAAGAAAGTGTTTGGGCTCTCTGCAAATAACAGGGACTGCATCATGACAGGTCTCATTTCGAAACGGCCCGTTTTCCGTAGATGACATAATTAGGGAAGTTGCTCCAATTTCTCTTGCATTTCTGGACAGTAGTGTTTGATACATTGCGGCACATTGGATGCAGCTTTATAAACTGACGCGCAGAAAAACGACTATGTTTCGTTGAGACAGCTGCTGTGTGGTTCACCTGTTCACTCCTGGTCAAAAGCATGGATGACCAGCTTTGGTTGAAATTTTTCTGTAGGGCACTCTCGATCACATGGGGGACCGTGTTCACCAGCATAGTTTAACTAGGAACAAGGAACCACACGCGTACCAATCTGTGAGGAGAATGTTGTGCATGCGCTATCAGGGGACGCAAGAGAACCCAGCGAGATCCCACCTAGTTCCAAAACACCTTGCTTTCGTCTGTCGTGGGCTATGTGCAGCATTTCGATCCGTTTAGCTGTACCGTGCGACTATAGAGCATCACACGGATTGATGGTACTCAGGGACTATAGGCTTTAAATCATCTCTGTCTGCAAGAGCAATACGTAAGAAGCTGCTTACAGGGTCCATATGGTCGCTGATGAACAGAAGGACATGGGAGCCCAAGGACAGTGATTACGCAGGTAAGTATGATAAGCGGGACAAGGTGGCCAAGATTGTCTGGCTGGTGATAATCAATATGTTCAGTACGACGGACAAAAATGTAAAAAAAACCTAGGGTACAACCCAAAGTTTATAATAACCTTATTTCTTACGCAAGCCACATGCCTTTTACTAGCACTGATCTTCGGCGTAAAAGCTGAGGCAAGAAGCATAGGATACCAGTAAACTTACCAATGATGGAAACGAAACCTCGGTCTCCAACTTGGTTCTCTAAGAAATCCGTTCAACATGGTAGCCAGATTGACAAATCCGTAGAGCATTAAAAAGAACCTGGGTTTGAAAGAAATGTAGCAAGGTATTGGGAACAAGCGGAAAATAATTAGGCAAGCAATTCGGTATTCTATGCTAGGTTGAAAGGTGAGTATGAATATTAAAAATGAGAGGTTGCTTATGTTCCCAAGAGCTAAAACCATCATACAAGATTTAAGCACAGTGGGACTTGTGAGACCATAACACATGACATACGATGTTTATGAAGAGATATTAGCATAGTAAATACTTCAGCAATCCTTGCTACATATCTTTGCGAGTATAAAGATACAACATCTACTCTCTAGCTACCTCTAGATTTCGTAGGACCATATTATGTTAAGCATCAGTCTTAAAGAAACCGGCGCAAACATATTCCACATTACACGATATATTTGCAGATATCGTTCAGTTGTTCGAACACCATACAACCTTGTAAACACAACCGGACGTTTTTATCGCGTTCGACTGGAACCCTTTAAAAATTTTATTTTCATTCACTGATAACGTTCAAGTAAACACTGTATTCCTAATTATTCCACCCTCGACCCACACCCACACGTTTTGCGACACTATGGCCAGAGAGGAATAGCAACGAATTTGATGATATGTGCCATCCCTTGGGGCTATCCTGGGGCGTAGTCAGACCGATGGAAAAACGCGCTTCCTTGATTCAAATCAAATTCAGACGTTCATTATAAACCCGGATGATTGTTTTCTTGGCTACTCATCGTGCAATTTGCAAACACTGTTAACCATCCTGCGTAACGCACAAAAGCAATATAATGATAAAAGTTGTAAATGCTTGTTTTTATGTCATGCTGTCAATGCAGCAACGTGTAAAATTTCTGGATACGTCCTGCAGTTAGGTGCGTCACGTGTTGTAGGGCTATAAACAATATATGTATATCTATCGTAATGTAAGAGTACTCACATAGTTATCAGAGGGGTGAGCGAATCGATGGACGCAATTAAAATACCAACTTGAGCAATACCATAGCTCAGTAATTGAGCCCGAAGAGGCTCCCCACGGCGTGTGGTCACTTGGAATGGACGCAAAAATGGCACTACATTGTCCCGCGCAATGGCTTGCAGAAGACGTGGTGAACCTGGAAGACAAAACAAATTATTAATTAGATAGATGAGAAAAGTATTAGCATCATACTGAGTAAGGGCAGTGCGGCATCAATGCAACGGGAAACATGACCTGGATTGTCTCATGTGACATCTGGGCGGGATAAAACATCGGTTTCTGCCACGAACTAATCGATACACCTTCGCGTCATTTGCGAGCGCAGATAATCGACTACTTCGATCATTACAACAATTACCAAAGAAATAGCCAATGAACGTAGCGACAATAAAGAGCTAGGATTTCAACGCGGCTAAATCTGGGAAACATCAAGTTGGAGGTGGGTTTAATACCAAAGACCGCCTGGGTTGCATATGAAGATTAGGGGAATAAATTGAGGCTTAGAGGGAGAGTTTGATAATCTGGCGAAAAAAAAGGTAATTTTTATCGAATTCTACTTGTGTCCCAGAGTTAAATGCGGCATGTAATTGGAGTCAATTATTTTAGAAATGTGGAGAATTTGGGGCAAATCGAAAAACGCCTCTAAAGCTGCTCCGTTACAAAATAATAGTAATCAGTAAAAGATAGCAGATTTCACGAAAACTCGGAGCCCGTTAAAATCGCGCCACTACACCACACTCATGCAATAACAAACTAGATGATAAAAATTATGAGCAGCCGACACGAAAGTGGAAGACGGCGATGTTTAGAGTAATCTAGTAGACGCAGGTTGATGCGAGTATGAGGAATATAAAAAAGAACAAAATTTGGAAAGAATGACAATGGGGATACCGTAAGGTTTGTGTAAAACATTATAATAAGCCAAGGAAGGTTTATGTGATAAGGTAACGTATACTAGTTACGAGCTACATGTGGATACAGACCTGATTTCGCATATCGGCGCGCAAAAGCCACTTGAATGCCCGTATATCATTTTGTTTCAAATTCGTGGTCGAGAATAGCGAGGGTCTTTCTGTAGATGGCTGACAAATTAAGGGCGCACGAATAGCTAGTCTCTTTAGAATTTATGATAACACTGGCAGGAAGGATAATGGGAGACGTTGCAGGGATGAGCCGACAAGCTACCAGTCCCCGTCAACACGGATGCTCGATCGATTCGCCTCCCATGCATATACTAGTAAGCTTCCATTGCGAAGATAGACGAAATAACGAGTGAAGGCGTCAATGAAGAAGGACCAGATTTGATCTAGATAAAAGAATTTGTAATGAGTTCGACTAACCTGAAATTAGCCTCAATTTGTTAAGAAAATGACTATTATTACTATAGGTCGCCTATAAGTCCGTTGCGACAAGAAAAGGGGAATTCAATAACTTTCTCATACATGGAGGCAGTAAACGAGCAGCAAAACGGTCAAGCAGAAGAGGTGCAGCGGTGCAGTACGGTCGAGGATGGTGTGCAGATCAGAGGCACTTCAAGTACGACAGGAAGTGAGGTAGAGAGAATTTGACCTTGACAACGGGTAAATGAGTAGTAATGGTGGTATTTAACGAGACCGGGGATTGCCTATCAAGGGTTTGGACTCTGAATTTGTTTATAACGAGTATGACTTATTACGAAAAACTCTCCGAGCAGTAAGATGCAACCAAGCTTGAGACGCGCGCAAACATAAGAGCACCAACAGTTATTGACCTCGATCTTTGTTAGGTTGTACAAGAAAAGAAGAAAGGCATCAGCAGTACGTCGGTACGCAGTACTGATGCTTCGCTGCCGCACAACCAACGCCACTCCTACGTGGACTAAGGATACTGCGATGATCACCCTATCCAGGCTTGAACCCGCGACCTCAGATTACAAGGCAGACTTGTGATCCTACGAATATGCAGACGTTTCCCAATTGGGACAGTGACCCACTTTTCAGTGGTACGTCCGCAGGAGACACGTCAGATCAGGTACGATTTCTTTTGAGGAAATTGGATCCACAAGAGTACGAAAAGCACTCTATTTACATCCTACTGAAGAACCCATGCGATATCTCATTGGACGACACCGTGAAACACTTGACCAGCATTTTCGACCCTAAAACTTCCCTTTTCAACACACGTTTTCAAGAAGTTGACCTCTAGGAGGATGCTTTTTTGACTTAGGCAGCTATTGTTAACAAGGAATGTGAAGGAGCTCAGCTTAGCACACTCACAAGTGATCAGTTTAAAACGCATATTTTGGTTTGTGGATTACGTTCTCCAAAAGATGCGGAGATTCGAACACGTTTGTTATCTCGGTTGGAGTCTAATCCAGAAGTCTCACTACAGCAGCTGGCACAGGAATGTGAACACATGTTGACACTGTAGCATCACACAGAAATGATCCAACGGCACAACGAGTCTTGTGAGGTAGATGTTCATACTATCCTTACATGCCCCAGGCCATCGCAAAATTCAATACGTTTCTCAGACTTCGCACGCCGCGGCTGTCCGCCTAGTGCTTGCTGGCATTGTGACCAGAGGCATTTCGCTCAATTTTGTGAACTCAGACGATATATTTGCAAGCCTTGTGGGGATATGGGACATAAGGAAACCAGATGTTTGCAGGGAGTCTCTGAAAGGCCGTCACGAACCCTCGCCAAAACTCCAAGTGTTCAACAATGCGTTTCAAATGTGGTGATTTCAACCACCAGCCGAACTATCAGTCACTACGGAAGTATGTTACGATTGTGACAAACGGTGTTTCTGTCCGGTTTCAACTGGACACGGCTTTCGATATTACAATAATCACTATGGCTCGGAATTAGCTTTTCTTGGACAGTTCAATTGTGAGTTTGCACTTCGTGATTTGCATGCTAATGGTGTTTGTTACGGTACACGTTATGGACATTTGAACTTGTTAGGCATATATTGGATAGATAACGTAATTTATGGAGCATTGAACAGTATTGGTGATAACCCAATGGTTTTTCACTGTGTCCAGCCGATGTTCATTATTCGGTTGCACCGTAATGTTTAAAGAGAGTACAGAAGCTTTATCACATTCTGCCTCTAAGTACACCGTTTTTTGCAGAGGGGCTAGGAATGTTGTAGGAGAAAAGCTGTGGTGTATCCACGTACTGGTGTACGTCCAGTATTTTATCCCAAAAGACCAGTACCATACGTTGCTGTTGAGGCTGTGGATGCCGAAATTAGTCGACTGAGTCCATGGGCGTCATTAGTTTCTGTGAGCTACTCAGCGTGGGCTGCTCCTATTGTAGTCAACAGAAGGGCTACTGGCAGTTTGCGTATTTGTGCCGATTTTTCTACCGGATTAAATAACGCAACGGAAACGCATCAATATCCGTTACCTGTTCCCGAGGATGTATTCCCAAAGCTTAATGAAGGAAAAATCGTTTCTAAAATTAATATTTCTGATGCATACTTGCAAGTAGTGGTCGAGGATGACTCAAAAGAATTGCGCACTAGTAATACTCATCGAGGCTTGTATCGTTACCATGGGTTACCTTTCGGTGTAAAATGCGCTCCAGCGACATTTCAACAAGTCATGGACGCTATGCTGTCCGGATTACAGTGTGCCATGGCCTATTTGTAGGCTCCACTTCTGAAGATCATTACACCTACCTGAACGAAGTATTCACCAGGATAGATTCATATGGATTCCGTGTACGTCCAGAGAAATGTGAGCTTATGATGCCCAGTATCACATACCTTGGCTCGGTTATCGACAGTTTCGGTCGCCGGCCAGACCCAAACAAAATAAAAGCCATCAAGTTAATGTCACAACCCATGAACAAAGCTACTTTGCAGTCTTTCTTGTTCTATTTAACTATTACCACAACTTTGTCCCTCCGATGCACGAACGCCAGGCAACACTAGAGAAACTTTTGGTAAACAAGTCAGTGTGATATTGGTCCTCACAGTGCCAAAAAGCCGTTGGTGATATTAAACAAATATTGTCCTCCAATCTTTTAACTCATTTCGACCCAGGATTACCAATAATTAGCACTGCTGATGCATCGCAAAATGGTATCGGTGGTGTTTTGTTGTCTCAGTTCCCGAATGGATGTCAAAAGGCTGTGAGACATGTTACCCGCGCGCTTACAACAGCAGAAAAGAAGTATAGTCAAATAGAGAAAAAAGGATTAGCGCGCCTGTTTGCGGTTAGGACATTTTATAAGATGGTTCATGGGCGCAAATTTACTTTGTACACACCTCACAAACCTTTGCTATCTATTTTTTGCGGCAAACGAGGAATCTCCGTTCACACAGCAAACAGATCATAGCGTTGGGTAACCGCC